TTCCGGCTTTGCTTGCTCTCCAGGGACAGGTGGTCCCCTGGGCCATCGCTCCTCTTCTCCGCCTTCACCACGCGGTGCTGGGCTCGCAGCTTGCCCCGCAGGTTGGAGTACTTGCGCAGGATCCTGGTGCTGGCCTGTGTGGGCAAGCTGGGGACAGGCTGGATGGTTTTGTCTTCGCTCTGGTCCTCGGTGCCGGCTGGGAGATGTCTGGCTGGGAGCCGTGGCTTCTTCAGCCTCTGCTTTATCAGCGTTCTCCCGAATTTTGGCCCAAAGCTTTTGGTTCTTCAGGTTATTCCGAGCCGGGGTAGTGGCGGCGAACTTCTTGAGGTGTTTTTTCAAACGTTCAGCTTGCAGTGAGCTGGGGTAGAGACTGGAGGAGGAGTATTTCTGCATGGGGACTTTGATGGGGGGGATCTCCCCTGGGAGACGGGTGTTGAGTTTCTTCACGATCACTAGAGACCTGGTTTCAGTTGTCTCCAGAAACCACTGGCAGATGTCAGACAGCTTAAAGGCCTTCATAAACAGCATCTGGACAGGAGAAAGCTTCTGCACTTCCAGCGAGCCCCTGCTTTTCCGTGTCCTTTTCTTGCTTTTCCAAATCTCTTTCAGTTTGTCAGCTCTGTTCTTTACTTTGGGGGTTGGCTGTACCTCCTTCTCCAGCTGAATCCAGCCTTTCTGAACTTTTGTGTACTGGGTGTTGAACTCGGCAATGAGCTCCTGGTTCTCCTCCTCAGCACACCACTCCATGAACTTTGGTTTGCTGTCACCTGTGTCTATGTCCTCCAACATGGGGGAGTCATCATTCCCTGAACTGCTTTCGCCACTCAGTTTGGGGATTGCTTGCATAGACTCCTTCCCTGGTGTGCTCTTTTTTGCAGTGTCTGCAGGTGCAGGCGTGTGTCTTAAGTTATAAAACTGCAAAGCGGCCTTTTTATGTTTTGCAGCCTTTGCTGGAAGATGCTTGCTTCCACCTCTGCTGCTGGGACACAGAGGTGAATTGGCCACTGGCTCGTAGTTCTCCAGCTTGCCCATGTCCATGGCACTGTTGGAGCTTTCCTTATCCTTTGTGCTGGCATCACCCGGTTTCACATCCACTTGTTCAGCATCATTTGCAGGCGTGCTGCTCTCCGGAGGGAGGAGAATGCTTCTCTTCTCAGAATCAGCCTGGGTGCTGACTTCCAGCATCTCACCCGTTTGACTTTGGCTGCCGTTAGCAGGGGGGCTGTCTTCAGAGGAATTTTCTCCCTCTGCTGCAGTCTCTTTTGCTAAGATGCTTTTATAGGTTTGTCTGGTAGTGACACCATTCTCCTCACCTGGCCGCTGCTCAGTGATGCTCTCTGGAGCCTGGCCGATGCCTGGCCCCTGGCTGGTTTTGAGCAGCACGTTGGGGAAGCAGTCATTTGGGAAGTGCACGGATGCTGCCCTATCCAGGTGCACTTCTCTCTTGAATCGCTTAGCGCCAGGGCTCTTGGAGAGCTGGATCTGAAGGCAAGAAAGCTGCACAGAGCTGGAAGAACCAGTGTCCTCAGCACTGCCCTCAGCAGGTGACTGGGATTGCTGGCTTCGGAGACGCCGGTCTGATGCCACAAGCACTCTCCTGCCTTTTTTTCGCTTCTTGTCTAGACTGTCTTTGGAAGAGACAGAGTCTTTCCCTGCAGTGTCTGAGCCGTCAGGTTCAGGCGGTGTTTCCTCTTCAACAGGCTCTTTTTCACCTGCTGGGCTGTTGTGCTGCACTGTCTCCCCTTCCAAGATTTCGGGGAGGGCTGTGCTGGCTGGCACAGCCTCCTCTTGCTCAAGGGAGCCATCACCCACCATTGCCGATAATTCAGCCTCTGGTTTAGCCTCGAGGCTTTTGTTCACATCCACACACTGCAAGGTGGCAGGGGGCTCTGGGGGGCTCTCCTGGTCCGCGGTGGCAGGGGTCTCATCAGGTGCCTGCTGGCCTGGAGAGCGTGGGGAGGGCTCTGCCAGATGCAGCCCACAGGGCTCTGAGTCTCCCACCGCTGGAAGCTGGGCAGGATCCCCGGCACCATCATGGGCCAGGGGTGCTGTGTCTGCAGTGTCGGCGGGCTGCAAGGGGCACTTTGGCTCCAGGATGGTGGAGGGGTCTGGATCAGTTTGTATGTCAGAGCCTGGGCAACCCTCCTCCTCCTCACCCGGTGCTTCTGAGACAGGAAGGGCAGCCTCCCCACTGCTGCTGACGTCCCCGGAGGAGCCCAGGCTGCTGCCAGCCTCCCAGGGGACCGTGCCTCCTGCTCCTGTCCCCCCTCCTTCGGCAGGAGGGGACCCAGGTGGTGGCAAGCCAGCTGAGCTGTCCTCTTTCTGGGGGCTGGGTGGAGCAGAGAGGGAGAAGAAGGCCACGGCCACGGCAGCTTCCCTCGACCGCAGCGCCCGGGTATCCCGGGGCTGCACGGAGCCCGGCTCAGCTCTCTCTTTTGTTTCTCGGCTGGTCAGTGCCCCTTT